CTGTGATGAGGGTGACTCCCCCTCCTGTTCAGCGTGTCCACCCAGTAGTTCCTTCGCCTCCTCCCCCCACTGCTGTTGCTACTCCTGCTGCCACCTCCGCCCCTGTCGGCAAACTGGACAAAGTCCTGGAGAAGCTCCGGACCAGGTTCCCACAGTGCGACAGGGCTCAGCTGACGTCACTGCTGCAGCAGGTGAAAAGCTCCCGTGGGACGTTGGCGGGCATGTCCATGGAGGAAGTCATCGAGCAGGTCGGCTTGAGGCTGGCGCAGAAGGAGAGGTCGGCCCCAGGGCCCATCAGCCGGCCCACAGCCCCGGGCCCCATCCAGAGGCCGACCCTTCCCCTGCAGAGAGCTGGGGCTGCAGCACCAAGTGGAGGTCAGGCCGTCGTGGCCCGTAAACTCTGCCTGATGTGCCAGAATCACGTGGACCCAGAGAGCCGCTATCCGCTGAGCTGCTCCCACACCATCCACAGAGACTGCATCCAGGTGTGGCTGCAATCCAGCAAGAACAACTCCTGTCCCTTCTGCCCGGGGAAGTGATGGAGAAACTTCAACCGTGACAGCGACAGTACCATTCCAAATATGACTCTGATGTGTGAGGTCTGTGGGACCAGTTACAGCCGCTGCCCCCTGCTGGCTGCCATCTGTTCAGTTCCCCATCAGCCTGCTGAAAGTTTGTCAGTACGTATAAACAAATACAACTGACAATGAAGTTCTCAGAAGAAATGTAAAAGAGAAATGTGAAGGCTGTTGGATAAACAGGTGCACTTATTGTATCATGTTGTGACATTACAGCTCACGCTACTTCAGCACAGCAACATGCTAATTACTTCTTGGTTTCAAACTAATCTCAGTGCATCACATAAATAAAATGGTTTAAACCTGTTTGACACTAACAAGACAAATGTAAACAGTGAAACAGGTTTAAACCATTTTATTTATGTGATGCACTGAGATTAGTTTGAAACCAAGAAGTAATTAGCATGTTGCTGTGCTGAAGTAGCGTGAGCTGTAATGTCACAACATGATACAATAAGTGCACCTGTTTATCCAACAGCCTTCACATTTCTCTTTTACATTTCTTCTGAGAACTTCATTGTCAGTTGTATTTGTTTATACGTACTGACAAACTTTCAGCAGGCTGATGGGGAACTGAACAGATGGCAGCCAGCAGGGGGCAGCGGCTGTAACTGGTCCCACAGACCTCACACATCAGAGTCATATTTGGAATGGTACTGTCGCTGTCACGGTTGAAGTTTCTCCATCACTTCCCCGGGCAGAAGGGACAGGAGTTGTTCTTGCTGGATTGCAGCCACACCTGGATGCAGTCTCTGTGGATGGTGTGGGAGCAGCTCAGCGGATAGCGGCTCTCTGGGTCCACGTGATTCTGGCACATCAGGCAGAGTTTACGGGCCACGACGGCCTGACCTCCACTTGGTGCTGCAGCCCCAGCTCTCTGCAGGGGAAGGGTCGGCCTCTGGATGGGGCCCGGGGCTGGGGGCCGGCTGGTGGGGCCCT